TGTTCTTCAACAACTTCCTGATGGACCCCAAGCGGCCGGCGCTGCCCGAGGGGGGCAAGGGCCCGCCAGGTGAGTGTCACCTGTGTCACCTGTGTCACCTGTGTGTCACCTGTGTGTGATCCCTGTGTCACCTGTCACCTCCCTGTGTCACCTGTGTGTCCCCTGTGTGTCACCTGTGTGTCACCTGTGTGTGATCCCTGTGTCACCTGTCACCTCCCTGTGTCACCTCAGTGTCACCTGTGTGTCACCTGTGTCACCTGTGTCACCTGTGTCACCTGTGTGTCACCTGTGTGTCACCTGTGTCACCTGTGTGATCCCTGTGTCACCTGTCACCTCCCTGTGTCACCTGTGTGTGATCCCTGTGTCACCCCAATGTCCCCCGGCGCTGCCCGAGGGGGGCAAGGGCCCGCCAGGTGAGTGTCACCTGTGTCACCTGTGTGTCCCCTGTGTCACCTGTGTCACCTGTGTGTCACCTGTGTGTCACCTGTCACCTGTGTGTCACCTGTGTGTGATCCCTGTGTGAGCCCTCACTGCCCGGCGCTGCCCGAGGGGGGCAAGGGCCCGCCAGGTGAGTGTCACCTGTGTCACCTGTGTCACCTGTGTCACCTGTGTGTCACCTGTGTGTGATCCCTGTGTCACCTGTGTCACCTGTGTCACCTGTGTCACCTCAGTGTCACCTGTGTGTCACCTGTGTCACCTGTGTGTCACCTGTGTGTCACCTGTGTGTGATCCCTCTGTCACCTGTGTGTCACCTGTATCACCTCTGTCACCTGTCACCTGTCACCTCCCTGTGTCACCTGTGTGTCACCTGTGTGTCATGTGTGACCTGTGTCACCTGTGTCACCTGTGTGACCCGTGTGTCACGTGTGTGTCACGTGTTACCTGGGTGCCACCTGTCACCTCCCTGTGTCACCTGTCACCTGTGTGACCCCTGTGTGACCCCATGACCTTCGTGTGACCCTGTGACCCCCAGGTGACCCCTCAGTGTGCCCCCATCCCCCCCTCCCCCAGCCTTGGGGACCCTCGGTGACCCCCGGGTGACCCCTGTGCGACCCTTGACCTCCATGTGACCCCCGGGTGACCCCCCAGTGACCTCTTTATGACCTCTGACCCCCGTGTGACCCCAGGCCTGGCCGCGGGGGCGCTGCCCTACCCCCCCCAGTCCCTGTGTGACCCCTGTGACCCCTGACCCCCGGGTGACCCCTGAGTGACCCCTGAGTGACCCCTGACCCCCGGGTGACCCCCGTGTGACCTCTGACCCCAGGCCTGGCCCCGGGGGCGCTGCCTTACCCCCCCCAG